AGGAGGATAGAATGGGAGAGATTGATAAGAGACCTTAACTTGATAGAACTAATTTCCGGAAAAGAAAGGAGCAGGAGATGGTAACATAAAACACAACTAGAGAGATTTGCTTTTTATGTCCTCTAAGGATAGCAAAGTATAGTGATAATGCTTACTATATGCCAGGCATTGTGTCAAACACTTTAGATGTATTAACTGAATTAGGACAGGATGAAGATAATGAACTTAGGAATGAGGAGCTGAAGCAATGTGCATCTGAAAATCAAAATTATCTTTGCAATATGAAGATAAGGTTAGTACTAAAAATTTACTAAAAGAGAAGTAAGAAGAAATGTAGGGAGCTTAAAAAGTAGTGGTCTGAAATTTAGAAGAGGAAGGTGGTGACCAGAAACATATACAAGTATTTTTTGGGACAGTCTCATTCTGTTGCCCAGGCTAGAGTGAAGTGGCCAGAGCTCGGCTCACTGCAACTTCTGCCTACAGGGTTCAAGCAATTCTTGTGCCTCAGCCTCCCCAGTAGTTGGGATTACAGGCATGTACCACCATGCCTGGCTAGTTTTTGTATTTTTAGTAGAGATGGGGTTTTGCCATGTTGGCCAGGCTGGTCTTGAACTCCTGAGCTCAGGAAGTCTGCCCTCCTCGGCCTCCCAAAGTGCTAGGATTGGGAGGCATGAGCCCTGTGCCTGGCCAAGTATTTTTGAAGAGTAATGCAAATGACTGTGTCATTTTCTCTAGCAGTAGTCAGATACAGTAGTGTCAAAGTTCAGAGCCAGATTATATTGTTCCAAGGTTGGAAGTTTGTAAGTAGAGTGGGATAGAAAGGCAAGCATTCAACATAGTTGACAGCTCTGGCAGAGGGTGGTTGAACTGATGCTCAGTAAGGTTAGGTTAGATATAAAAGGAAGTAAAGCTAGGGGTGAATAATGATGGATAGGAAAAAAGACAGTAAAATATTAGAAGGAAAATTACAAACATGAAGAATCTATTGACTCTCTATCCCACTCCTTTCTGAGTGAACAGTCAATGCGGCAGGTTGCCACAACTCATGAAGGACACCAGAAGAGGAAGTGCTGTCATCTTGGAATTCAGGGATTCCTCCATAGAACAGAGTCCTCAGGCAGGACAGGTCTGTGCTATTCAAAGTGCAGTCCACTGACCAGTATATTTGGCATCACCTAGGAGTTTGTCAGAAATGCAGAACTGCCTACCCCAGAACTATTAAATCAGAATCTGCCTTTTTTCTCTTTTTTTTTTTTTTTTGAGACAGTCTCACACTATTGCCCAGGCTAGAGTGCAGTGGTGTAATCTTGGCTCACTGCAACCTCTGCCTCCCTAGTTCAAGTGATTCTCCTGCCTCAGCCTCCTGAATAGCTGGGATTACAGGCACACACCATGCCTCGCTAAGTTTTTGTATTTTTAGTAGAGACGGGGTTTCGCCATGTTGGTCAGGCTGGTCTTGAACTCCTGACCTTGTGATCCGCCTGCCTCGGGCTCCCCAAGTGCTGGGATGCCCAGCATGAGCCACTGCTCCCAGCCCAGAATCTGCTTTTTAACAAAATTTCCAAGTGATTCATATGCACATTAACTTTAAGCACTGGGATAGACAGATGAGGGGGTATGAATTCACCCTGGGTTTATTTGTCATAATACTGCTCATAACATGCTAGGAGAAATAGAGGAGACATTCTGCCCATGATGTTCTCTAGCAACCAGACTCAATGTATTCCTCCCTTTTATCTATTAACTTAAAGCCTTCCTCAAATGATTTGTAATCCTCTGCACTCACTGGTAATTCCATTCCAAACTCCAAATGCCTTCTTCTCTTTTACGGTCAATAGTGTCAGAACCCTATAGTATATATTCCTTTTTATCACATTTCTCTTTTAACGTCTTGTTGATAAAAAAGTTCTTTTTGATAATGCAGTCATGTTGGTGTAAATCTACAAATTTAACACCCCCCCTTTTTTTTCTTTTTGAGATGAAATCTTGCTCTGTTTCCCAGGCTGGAGTGCAGTGGCGTGATTTCAGCTCACTGCAACCTCCACCTCCCAGGTTCAAGCAATCCCCCCTCCTCAGCCTCCAAAGTAACTTTTACAAATTACAGACGTCTGCTACCACACCTGGCTAATTTTTGTATTTTTAGTAGAGACAGGGTTTTACCACATTGGCCAGGCTGGTCTCAAACTCCTGACCTCTAGTGATCCACCAGTCCTTGGCCTCCCAAAGTGTTGGGATTACAGACATGAGCCAACGTGCCCAGTCAAATTTAACACATTCTATACCTATCAATAGAATATAACAGACATGACATTCTCAAGTGAACTCACCACCTCATAAAGAACTTCAGGCTATGTGCCATTGCTCACACCTATAATCCCAGCACTTTGGGAGGCTAAATTGAACGGATCACTTGAGGACAGGAGTTTGAGACCACCCTGGCCAAAATGGCAAAATGCCTTCTCTACTAAAAATACAAAAAATTGAACCAGGCCTGGTGGCTTATGTCTGTAATCCTGGCATTTTGGGAGGCCGAGGTGGGTAGATCATGAGGTCAGGAGTTTGAGACCAGCCTGGCTAACATGGTGAAACCCTGTCTCTATTAAAAATACAAAAATTAGCCAGGTGTGAGGGTGCACACCTATAATCCCAGCTACTTGAGAGGCTGAGGCAGGAGAATTGCTTGACCCAGGGAAGCAGAGGTTGCAGTGAGCTGAGATCACGCCACTGCACTCCAGCTTGGGCAAAAGAGCAAGACTCTGTCTCAAAAAAAAAAAAAAAAAAAATTAGTCGGGCTTGGTGGTGCACACCTACCTATAATCCCAGCTACTCAGAGGGCTGAGGCACAAGGACTGCTTGAACCTTCGAGGTGGAGGTGGTGCCACTGCACTCCAGCCTGGGCAACAGAGCAAGACTGGTCTCAAAACAAAACAAAACAAACAAAAACCTAATACAGGACACATTTCAATTACATATTACTTAACAATTACCCTTGCAGACTTATCTCCTTACAAAAAAGAGACTGCTTCTGCATTTCCCCATTTCTGTCTGTCTCCATCAATTTTTCACATTCAGTAGCTAGCTGTGTTTGTTTAGACTTGCAACTGTTTCTCTGTAAGGTAAAGAATATTTTGGCCGGGTTCGGTGGCTCACGCCTGTAATCCCAGCACTTTCAAAGGCCGAGGCGGGTGGATCACGAGGTCTAGAGATCAAGACCATCCTGGTCAACATGGTGAAACCCTGTCTCTACTAAAAATACAAAAAATCAGCTGGGCATGGTGGCGCGTGCCTGTAATCCCAGCTACTCAGGAGGCTGAGGCAGGAGAATTGCCTGAACCCAGGAGGTGGAGGTTGCAGTGAGCCGAGATAGCGCCATTGCACTCCAGCCTGGGTAACAAGAGTGAAACTCCGTCTCAAAAAAAAAAAAAAAAAAAAAAGAATATTTTGATTATCAGATCACTTCACCTCTCCTTCATAGTTTTGTAATCTGAATATCGGAGTGTTGTACAAGATAAACTATAAGCTTCCTTTCAGTTTTAAAATTATTTGATTTTATGTATCATAGCCAAATTTCCTGTGCGCGGAAAATATACCAGAAAATCAGCCCAAGTTCTTTGAAATTCAGTTAGTGCCAAATGCCATTCCAAGAAACCTGTAGTTAGCTACACACATACACACATTATCTATGATTGAGTGAGCTTTAAAGAGCGAGTCTTTCTCCTAACATTCTAGTGTTTTGAAGCTGCTACACGTTATTATGATTTCGAGCTACTTTTTTTTTTTTTCTCCTCCCCCGAAATTCTTCCAAACGAATTAAATCACCTGTGAATCTGAATGGAAGCTGGACAAAATTATCTCCTCAAGTTAATGTGGAACCGATTCCTCAAGAGATGGAGGTTCTGGGGAGCAAGGCGAGTCAGCGTCAAGCTGATCACGCAGATACCTGTTGGGGACGTCAGTGCTAACGGATATTTTGGTAACATTTTTTAAGGACTAACGATGCTTTTTGTGATTCAGGCTTTCATCTGATCCAAGAGCAGAATCTCGTCGGCCTGTAGGTGTTTTTTTATGAGCCGCTGCTTTTAAGCGCTGTTACCTCCTGGGCCCAAGCACGCGGTGGAAAAGGGGAAATAAAGCTATTTGTTCCCTCCTCAAGCTAATTGCTCCAGAGAGCTGTGAGTGTGCTCTATTACCGCTGGGAAAACCGAAATTGCGGAAGCCCGAGGCGCTTCAAAATTGAACGGGAAGGGTTTTTAAACTGCCGCAGGGATAGGCGTAGGCGACATGACAGCTGATGACCCCCTGGGCTTTTAAAGTCCTTCTCCCCTCTCTCCGTCCGCTCACAGTCCTTAATCGCCTCTGGGTTCTGGGATCTGGGCTTCAGCCCCCTCCCCAGATTAACCCATCTGTTACCCGCCTCCTGCCCTATCCTCCCCCCTACCCAGGCTCTGCTCCAGGGCTCCCGCGCTCTGCCCATCCCCCTCTGGATGCCTCCTAGCTCCCTCTTCTTTCCCTCCCTCCAGCCACTCCTCGCGCCTTCCCCTCCCCACTTTTCTCCCACTTCCTTTTCCCCCTCAGATTCGCGCTCCCGCTGCAACATCTCCTCCCTCAGCTCTGGGAGTCGCCAGGCCAGAGGCGCCGCGGACCTGGTGCACGCAGGCGCACTGAGCGGCTGGCGAACGGGCAGGCCAGGCATCAGCGCAGGCGCGCGCGGCTGGGGCTCGGCTCCGGGGCTGGCGGTCGGACAGTCCTCGGGCTCGCTCAGTCCGGGCTTGGGGCCCCGCGGCGGAGGCGGAGGTAGAGGGGGCGTCGGCGGTGGCGGCGGCACCATGTTACTTCACTCAGTCAACCTCTGCAACCTGGCGTTTTATGTCTTCATGGTCTTCATAGCAACCCTGGGGCTGTGGGATGTCTTTTTCGGCTTCGAGGAGAATAAGTGCAGTATGAGCTACATGTTTGAGTACCCGGAGTATCAGGTAAGGTTCTGCCCTCTCCTTGGCCGGGTGCTCCAAGACTCTGGCCCTTGGTGCCTTTTTCCTTCTTGTGGGTTCATCCTGCCTTGGCTCTCGGCGCCTCTCGGGCCCCCTGTCCCGTCCTCGCCTCTGTTTTCTCCGCCCAGGGAGACTCTGCATCCCCTTTCTGTCCCCCTCACCTACGCTTTGTGTCCTTTCTCCACGGTGAGGTGTTTGTCAGACGATTTCCCGAGAGCATCCTCGTGGTCGCACTGGTAGTTACTCCGCTGACCCTCCGCCTCCTCCTGAGTCCCAAATCCTGGGCGCGAGCTCTTCTGACTGGCCGGGCCCAGCCCCAGTCACACCCAGAGAGGCAGCCTCAACCCTTCTCCCTAAACCCAAGCTCCATTCCTCTCGCGTTCCTGCCTTAACCCGTGCCCCAGAACCTTCCTTTCCTTCCCACGCGCCTAAATTCTTCCCCTCGCGCCCAGTGATTTGCGCGTCAGATTTCGCATTTCTGCAAAGGGACCGAGCGTCTGCAGAGTGTATATTGGCTAGATAGTTCCCAAGGCTGTTTTTGGAGACTCCAGGGTTTTGCCTAAGGGTAAGCTGGTGAGTCATGAAATTGGAAACTAGATTCCCTTTGAAAAGATGTTGCGGATCCTCTTGTTTTGCGGGTTAGGGTGCTGTGCGTGTGTGGGCTTGCTTGTATGTGCATACCTGTGTTTATCTATGTCTCCCAGCTGCCGAGCCTCTTACTAGTTGCATACAAAATCTATTAAATGGTGCTATTTTTTTTTTCTCCCTGGGTTCGGAGTTTAAGAGACACGCGACCCTTCTCTCTCCACCCCCATTGCTTCCATGCCATTTTGAATGTTTTCAATCAATGGCTTCGTTAGTTCGGCATCGTAGAATCTAGAATTTCATTCATGACTAGATGTAAAAACAGGCGCAGACAAATTACACAACTGTCCTAAGATTTTTTTTCCGAATGATTCTTTTATTTCTAAGTGCATCTCTTAATTACGGACTACCTAGTAATTCCCTACCATAAATGTATATGTAATAATAGTAATAGTAATTCCCTACCATAAATGTATATGCACTATAATACGTATTGTAAAATACATTTTTAGTATACTCTTAAAATCACAGCAGTTCTTTTTCAGGGTGAAGGATGTAAGTCCTGATTGCTTCTTTGTACAAGTCATTATGGAGGAAACCTATTATTTGATTATTCTGCTATTATTTTGATCTTAAGACTACTTAAGGTTTAAATTGCTGAATAACATTCTTTCCTATGGACAGAATTCTAGTAAATTTAGATTTCATTTGTGTTTAGATCCTTACCTTGGTTTTGCATTTATGATGATAAGAGAGTGGAAACATTTGGTCGGGATGTTATCAAAGGAGAAGATTTTGACATGTTACTATCTCTGTTCATTTCTAAGCAAACCTTTTTAGTTTAGTTTTTTAAAAACGGAAAATAGAGCCATCATAATTCCCTCCTTATGTTTGGTTTAATAATAAGGGACCTCCTAATAAATTGAAGTAGGTCACTTTAGTTTTGTATTGCATTGAAGAGTTTGGTTAAAATCATTTTGGAATAGTACAGTACTAACCCCCATTTATTTTTAGATTTCCTACAATTATTGAAGCTATTTTAATATTCACAGAAGTAGAAATTGTTCTCCTTAGTGTTGGGAACAAAACATATGGATCTCACAGATGCATTTCCTGCCTCATAAAATTGACTGGAAAGACAGAAAATTAGTGTAGCTAATGGTGAAGAGCTCTTTGGGTTTTTTGTTGTTGTTGGGTAGTGGAGGTTTAGTTATTCTGATTGAAGTTGCTTTTTTGGGATTTTACACTTCTATCTGCTAATACAGCAATAATCACAGTGACAGTTTTTGATTTTTAGCAGATTTTATTTTTATGACATAAAAAGCTGTGTTAATTCATGATAGTATTTATATTGTATTCTTAGTCTTTTTATCTTGCATACCAGGTCATGTTATCTTACAGATACAATAAAACCTGCCTATAGAAATGAGTCATTTTGAACATAGTGAGATTTTTGAATAAATGAGGCCATTCTGTTAAGAACCAAATGGCTTCCATGAATAAAAATGTTTTAAAGATATTTTACATATTGCTTACTTTTAATTATGTTTTATAGTCAGCTCTCTAATTGTTCACAGGTTGATACCCAGATGTGAGATGTCCAGGTCATTGGCTTTTCTTCTCTTTTTGATGTCTTTCTTCTTTTTTATTGCTTATTTGCATCTTCTTTAGCTAGCCAGCAGAAATAGAAAGTTAGTTGAAATGCACTCGATTTTCTTCTTCTTTTTTTTTTTTGTAAAAAAGAAAGATGGACCATAAATTTGAAGCTCTTTGCAAAAATGAAGTTTTGAATTTAAAATTGTTTGATTATCTCTGTTAATATTCTACCTCTGGTTTTCCCAGAGTCACTTAGTCAGAGTTAATTAAACATCTCACAAACCCATATCTCAAACCTGTGAGGCAAAATATACTTTTCCTTTGAAGCTTCTTGCCCTGTTATGACAGCAAGGCAAAACTTTTATTTGTTAGTAAATGGTTTTAGGCAAATTGCAGAATTTTAGAAGAAACATCTGAGTTGTTTTCTCTCATACAGTGATTTGTTTGGCTGTCTCCATATGTGTAACCTAACAGTTGCTCTCTGGAAGAAAGTGTTAGTGTGCGCCTGTCATCCCAGCTATTCAGGAGGCTGAGGCTGGAGAATCGCTTAAACCCAGAAGGCGGAGGTTGCAGTGAGCCAGTATTGTGCCATTGCCCTCCTGGTGGGGTGACAGCAAGACTCTGTCTCACAAAAAAAAGTCATATATTTTGTTATTAAGTGTGTTATTTATTTAGAAAGTCATTTATTGAATGAGCAGTCTTTGCCAGGTATATCTAGATACTTGGTGTAGGTGAAAGGGAATTAGAACCAAATCAGATCTTGTGTCTTTATGTCTTTATAATACAATGGGCGAAATGGACATGTAATTTTTAATTACAATATAATGTACTGTTATAATTTCACAATAAGAGAATATGTACAAAGCATTTCACAGAAAGGAGAGTCTCCAAGTTTTTCTTGGGTGTTCAAAGGCTTTAGGGAAGATACAAAGTGAATTGGGCCATGGAGGGTGTATAAAGTAATGAAAGAACATTGCAGGCATAAATAGTATATGTGAAGGTGGTAATGCACCAGGACATGTTGCATGAACAGTATTTATAATATATTACCATTATATCAAAACTAAAATCTATAAACATATTTGCTTGTATATATGTAAAATATTTCTAGACGCACACACAAACTGGTAACAGGTTGCCTTCGAGGGGAGGTCAACTGGATGGCTGAAGGACCATGGGCAGGAGAGATCCTTTTCAATATATATCCTTTTGAATCTTGAATTCAAAAACATATTAAAAATACATTTTAAAACATGTCATGTGTAAGTTTTAAGAAAGTAGGTAAAGGCAGGGCAAGGTGGCTCACACCTGTAATCCTATCAATTTGGGAGGCCAAGGTGGGCGAATTACTTGAGCTCAGGAGTTAGAGACCAGCTTGGATAACATGGTAAAACTCTGTCTCTACTTAAAAAAAAAAATACAAAAAATTAGCCAAGTGTGATGGCATGGGCCACCTGTAGTCTCAGCTACTCTAAGGAGGCTGAGATGGGAGGATCACTTTAGCCCAGGAAGTCAAAGCTGCAGTGAGACAAGATTACACCACTGCACTGTAGCTTGGGCAACAAGAGTGGGACCCTGTCTCAAAAAAAAAGTAGGTCAGAATTATTAGAGCTAGATTTTAAAGGACTCTCTCTTAAGCCGTGTGTGTGTGTGTTAGTAGTGTGAACTATGGATTATAGAAGGGAGCCTATGGCAAGGAGAGACAAGTCTGAAAAATTCGGTTGTCCTTAAGGCCTTTTTTTTTTTTTTAGAAGGGGTCTAGCTCTATCACTAGGCTGGAGTGCAGTGGCACGATCTTGGCTCACTGCAACCGCCTCCTCCCTGGTTCAAAGGATTCTCCCGCCTCAGCCTTTCAAGTAGCTGGGATTACAGGCATGCATTTGTAAAATACAAATTGTTGTATTTTAGTAGAGACAGGGTTTCACCATGTTGGCCAAACTGTTCTCCACCTCCAGACCAGCCTGACCAACATGATCGAGGTGGGTCTCGATCTACCCACGTCGGCCACCCAAAGTGCTGGAATTACAGGCATGAGCCACTCTGCCCAGACGCCCCTAGAACTACTCTTATTGGGGGTGGTAAGCAAAGGGCTGACTGAGAGCTCTTTGAGAGAATTTAAAAACTGTGTATTCATCTTGATCAAAGTTGTTTTTCTTTTTGGTTAGTTATGGAGATCAAACTTTATTTTTCAGTTTAAGTTCACAATTAAATAATATCATAAAATAGATTAGTTTCTTGAATCAATGTTTTTCTAGTACTTGGGAGTTTGTTAAAAATTTTGTCTTTTGAGAGAATTTATGTAGAGTTAAGAAGAACTCAGAGTAGAGTCAAGGAAGGAGGACTGGAGAGGTAGGATTGTGGAGATAATATTTAAATATAAAGGTAATTGATCTTAATATGGAGGAGGTGTTGCTTATTTAAAATAAACTATATAGAGGCTGGGTGCAGTGGCTCACGCCTGTAATCCCAGAACTTTGGGAGGCCGTGGTGGGCAGATCATGAGGTCAGAAATTCAAGACCATCCTGGCTAACATGGTGAAACTCCATCTCTACTAAAAATACAAAAAAATTAGCTGGGCTTGGTGACTCATGCCTGTAGTCCCAGCTACTTGGGAGGCTGAGGCAGGAGAATTGCTTGAACCTGGGAGGCGGAGACTACAGTGAGCCGAGATCATGCCACTGTACTATAGTCTGGGCGACAGTGCGAGACTCCGACTCCAAAAAAAAAAAACTAAAAAAAACTATATGGAATAAAAAATTTACATTGGAGTCCTGCTCCCTTAAGTATTTTCCTTTTAAATCCCTTGACCGTATTCTGTTTTCTTATCAGCAACCTTTTTGTCTTTTCTGTCAATCTGGTAAATTACCTCTCCTGGGTCTTTCCTACTCCCTTTCAACTTGAACTCTGTCTGGAAATGGAGTTTTGCCATTGCTACAACTCCCACCATTCTTGCCTCTTCTCTTATTTTTTTGTTCTACCTTCTTTTTCCATCTCCATACTTTTTTAAAAAAACTCTGTATACATTCATATTTTTAAAAAATATTCTTTCTCACTATAAAATTGCTTTCACAGTAGTATTTCATGACATATATCAAATATATTTTTTGCTTCCTTTTCTGTCTCAAAAAAAATTAAATATTTCTTTTTAGATGTATTTATAGTTTCCTGTTTTTCTGAGTTCATTTTCAACTAGTCCAAACTTTGTTTATCTACTGTTCCAAAAGAATAACGGTGTACTCAAGATGGCCCCTTTAGGAGCAGCTCAGGATTGCAGCTCCCAGTGAAAGCACAGAGGGTGAGTGGACACCGCATTTCCAGATGGATCTTTATTGCCCACAGACCAGGAGATTCCTAGGCGGAGAAACCCTACAGGTTGCCAGTGCGGCTGATT